GCTACGGTCATAGACATACAGACAAAATCAACGTAGAACGTCACATACACAAGTACATCGGTTCAAGATCACACACTTCACAGCAGCATACAGGGAATGAACGCGTAGAAAAAGACTAATATAAAAAGTAAACAAAGGTGTGTAGGAGGAGGAGGAATTTCAAAATGATGGTCAGTCAAAACACTGAAGCTGTGGAAAACTTCAAAGAGTGAATACACCTGCGCTACTGTGAACGATTTTCATGCTACGGCCATGCAAACAGAAAAGCGTCCATAAAAATCAGAGATCGATCCACCACTGCTGCTTCGACCATTACTTATCATCAAGTCAATATACTAACCAACTTTAGAAACCTAAGTAATGTATTAAGCCAGATGTCAGTTAGAGAGCAACATAAATCCCCAAAAGAACTTGGTTTGATTGAGTTTTTTAATGAATTTTAATATACTCCATCAACCATCAACCAAAGTACAAAACCGAAAACAGTCTTGGTCTAACTATTATTAACGAATCTCAGACAGCACAATGGGGATCAGGATCAAAAATAAAGTGGACAACTCATAATGACTCGGTGAATCAATATCAAGCCTGAGAACAGCATGTTAATTCACCACGACATACACCACCACTACGCAGTACAATACACGGAAATCGAGAACAATGTATCATCCTCATCATCATCGGGATTAACATAGAACCAGGTATTACAGGGTAACCGTCCAAGTTGCTACACCTCATATCAGCACAATAAGTAACAAGTAAATAAAGTGGAAGATGAAGAAGGAAAGAAAAATCGGTCAAAGGAAGTAGAAATAGAAAGTGGTAAAAGCGAAGAAGGAAGAATAAGAAGATAATGAGACTAAGTATAGCGGTTAATGTGAGGATTATGTGTGTATGCATCTGGGCTAATGACATCGATTCTGGGCCATATCATCTAGTCTGCAACCACTGGTTTCTTCTGTCCCACGGACCCCCAACCGGCTAGTTTGCATCCTCTGCATGCCTCAAACTAACAGTCAAGGACTTCATCTATTGATGCCGCGTGTTTTAGTCTGGCTGCCTCGAGCCTTTTTCCAGCCTGAACCTACTTCGGTCAACATTGTGCAAAAAGGCAGACGGTGGTTAAGCATACACAACACGTGTCCCACCAATCTCAGTCGGTAAAAGTTCACAACTGCATCAACTGACTTACCTCTCCTGCCTAAAACTTTACACCTGACTTCTGAGTTACTCAAATTGGTGACATCACGAAACACGGCCTACGCTACGAAGGTAGAGGTGGTTAATTATTTGAAGCCTTCTCGTGTCTTCTAACTTTAGTGCTCATGTTTCACAGCCAATGACCGCCGAACAATGCGAAAAATGAATGCGATTAATTGGATAGAAATTCAACCATCTTTACAACACAATGCGTGTATAAAGCCTAAATCGTATATGCAACTTCCAGACAGATCAGATAGCAACTTCAACGACAGAATACTAAAACAGCATCTTGCCCCAGACTAAGATAACAGACGGTAAATTAACAGGAACCTTAGTTTGACTATATTTAAGCTTTCTTAACAATAAATATACTCAATTTAGCATTGAACTTTGTGTTAGTTTGTAACTGCATACACATGATATACATATCAGAAAAACATTTCAATCATTTCTTCATCATGACTACATTTATTGATATACTCCCTACTTTTTAACTGAAAACCTGAGTAGAACCCCAGAATTGATCATTCCATAGTTTCGACTCGGATGAGAAACTCAATTTGTAGGTTTTCGAGGATTAATTATTAATTTTAGGCTGGTATTCATCACGGACTGACATCAGTTGAGAATCCATCGGAAACTCGGGGGCACTAGAGAGTTGTTACGTCCTACTATGAGACTCCCCAGCAATGCACACTTATAACCTCACGCTATATCATAAACTAATAGAAGTAGGAAAATTCGGACCATCGGATTCCGACTCAGTGCCTCAAAGGTAATGTGCTGGCCACGGAACCTGAAAGCGCTGGGTTCGATCCCTGAGGGGTTCATGGGAGCGCCCTGCTGAAGAGTCCTATAGCAAGTCAAAATAGTTGTCCATTGCTCCCAGGTTTCCAGTGGTTCCTCAACTTATTTCAGTCCATGATGAATACCAGCCACAGACACAGAGGCGACCATACATTAGTTCCATATTAGATTTGTTTATTTGATATAAAGCGCACAGTGATACAGTATTATTTACTTGATTACGTTTCGAGCATAAATTATTGCTCATAATCATATCATACATTAGATCTACAGTTATGTAGCAGAATAGGGTATAAATGTATAGTCGGACCCTGGAGATTTGGTGAACTCTTCCACATATTCGCTAAAAACGGAAAAATCATATTACTAAGACATACAGAACTTGACTGAAAAAACTGAAGTTCAGTAGTGTAATAAAAATTTACTGAATTAGCTGACTATACACTTTATACAAAACCTGAGTGATATAGTGGTATAAAAAGAGTAGACTATGCAGGAAATGGGATGAAAGCCATCACTAATAACGGCTCCCATCCCGTTATGCATAGAATGGAACATGAATCATAGGACCATGTTGCTTACCCATTATCAAATACCAAAGTAGCCAATCACTTTATAACTAATAATCTTCCAGAAAATGAATGATAAACATCTACAAATAAAGCTTACCTTCAGGAGGTTGTGACATATTAGGTTCAGCACATTTCAGATGGAAACCTCGATCACAAACATCACATAGTAATAAATCTGATTGAGGATCTTCTTTCTCAGATGCTGAATTATGACTCTCCGAATTCGGTTGGCATAAACAACACCTTTTACAGTCAACACAAAGCCACCGTAGTGATGAGATACGGTTAACTAGATCAGGCGGCATTTTGAGACATGTGGGATGACCTGAAATATATCCCAGGAGAAAGAACAGTACGCGGGAATGACGATCAACCAAACAAGCAGGAATAAATAAATAATGATTTTCAAAACCCAGCATCATCATCATCATATTGGATCCGATGAAATCACAAAACATTTTACAATCTTAAAATTATCACTGTTGTAGGTGGCCTATAAGAAACGTTCAAGTGGTTGATGGTAAGAAGGGGGTAAATAGAGCCTTTTCATCTTAGGAACGAACTAAAACTGTCAAGAATTGACTAAACCAGGGTACATGAGGTCGAATAACCTAGCCCTTAAACGTAAACCTTTCGAAATTCAGAGTGCCATAACGACAGAGTTCAAGTTATTCATAGATTTCTTGTAGCACACAAACGTCTCAAACAATAAATTCGTATTCTTTCATACGACTCAGGTAAACAAATATCCTCCTCAATACAAACTAAGTATAATGATTGAGGCCACTATATAATTGAATTTGGGGGTTTTTGGAGACTTAGTGATTTTTTTTCAAGTTGGTATTCATCATGGACTGACATCAGTAGGAGGAACATTGGAAACCTGGGAGCATTGCACAACTGTTCCGCCCTACCAGTTGGTTATGTAGTCAAGAACCTGAAAGTCCTAGGTTTGATACCTTGTGGGGCAGGGGCACGAGTGCACACTGCTGAGGAGTTGCGTGCTAGGACGAAACAGTTTTCTAGTGCTCCCAGGTTTCCAGTATTCCTCGTAATGATGTCAGTCCATGATGAATAACATTATGTGATCTCCTGAACTGATATCCTTAAATAGTAAAGCAGAACAAAACGTAAAGACAGCACTCTCACATGCTTGCATGAGTTAAAAAGCTCGTAAAGCTAATCTCATTAACTGTCTTCACACAGATCAGTTAGCCTAGTTTTTGTCATTTCGACCATTTGATATCTGAAGGAAATACTCTTAACTTCAACTCTCATTATTTAGTTAATTTATTAAAAAGCGAAAGGTAAGCAATTGGAAAGTCTGCGTGATACAGTTTCAAGCGTACCACGATGATGTAAATGTATCCACTCTACATTATATTCAAAAGTAAGAACGTCTTTTTAATCGTTATTAGCTTATTTTATCCTGTCCTCTATCCCTATTGGTTAATCTTCTATCTTTCTTCTATCAGTGCTACTAAATTGGAGCACCTTAAGCTATTACATGCTTTAGAGAAGTTCTGCTTATAATCTGTCTCAAGCATACACCATGTTCTAAGATGCGATCTTTTCATTTTCACCTGACAATGTGGAGTTGCAGCTCATCGAATCAGACACTCCAATTTCACTCTGTAGAACAAGAGTTCGAACCCTGCCCAGGCAACCGAGGTTAGGGTAACCATACAACAGGTGTGATTCATTCCCGAGTACACAGGCCTGCAAACAGTTGATGCGATGCAGTTGCCAGATGTACAGTGAAATGTCTGTTGACTAAATCTCATTCTTCATCCCTTGAATGTCACATTTATGTGTCAACCTGACGTGCTTTCAGTACAAATCTTACTAAAACTAACCTATGCGTTGAATAGATGGCTGGCGATGACTGAGAATTATAACTGCGGCAGTAGGTAGGCAGTGACAGTTTTGTTTTGATTGTAAACTTGATTCAGCTGGCTGATGTCACCGATACCTGATCGTTGTTTATCTGAATGTGTGATGATGACTAGAAAAGGATTAGGATAGCTGTAATTTCAGTGTGATAAAACCAGTGAATTTCACTGACTATTGAATTCACTTGTATAATCTAGTCCAGTGATTGTTACTACAAGATAGCAGAAATCGGCAACTGAACACAAGATGACAGTTTCATTACTACGTTTATTCTCTTATTTAGTTGGTAATTTTGAAAATCTTACTTATTCAAACCGCCTATATGTATTTTATAGTGTTTTTATCAGTTAAGTTATCAGTTTTATTAACCAGTTGGCTGATTTCTACTTAGTTCTTCTGCCAATGGGTGAGAAATCTTGCATCGATGCACTACTGGTCCACACATCATGCTATTCTACACTGCTTAAAAGGAAAGTCTTCAGAAGTTAAGTGAATAGTTTTAAGGTAGTTAGATACTGAAATAATAGCAAAGAGTAAACTTATTATTAAAGAGAACTCAGACATTATACATGTAACATAAATGTAGTACAAAATGGATAATTTTTTACCCACCTGATTGACCACATTCCCAACAGGCAATCATTTCCTCTGGAACTTTAGTTTTGTTGTTTAATTCCGATGTGCCCAAACACAGACCACAAATTGGAATCACTTTTGATGGTCTCCGTAATCGCTGATAAGAAAAAAACAACGAAACGTGAAAGTGATAAACAGGTAGGTAGGTAAGTAGACACGTGTGGGACCACGATACGATTTATAATGGGATTGACTGAAGTACAAATGTAAACATAAAGATTTCAATTTGGTAACAATTATGTATGTGTCAAAGTGAATTGGCAAACTCCATAATTTCAAAATAACGGAGAGTTATACAGAAAAACAACCATGTTCATTTTGAAAAGTTTTTTTACGATGAGTCGACATTAGCCGGAGAGCAATTAAGACCTAGGGGGGCGCTGAACAGTTGTTTCCCCCTAGTTTGGGACTTTTCACCAGCATGCATCCGGAACCCAATGAGGAAACAAGCCAAGGACTGTAAGGTCGCGAGGTGAACACGGCACCATTGGGTTGGAATTCAACTTTTGTAAATTCGCAATATAGCGCAACCATTGTCCAATACTACTGGCGAGTATTTGTCCCCATACCTGACTTGTTTGACCATGAGTGTTAGTCATCACTAATTTTATTCTATTAACTACGCCTCAGAAAACTATGATGTCTCTACAAAACTTCTACAGATGGGAATATAACTATACCATGTTCCTTTAAACTTGCTCGTGTGGAATTGAGGTTCATTGGTTTAGGGGGTTGCAGGTTCGAACACGGCTCCATCAATCGAGTTTTGGGCAAGCAAGCAGTACTATTAATCTACAATAGGTGGGGCCTACTACACAAACAAGGAGGTGATTCCCAAGTGGATTTCTTCTTCTCTTCTATAATTGTTTGTATTATACAATTTCATCGTTAAGGTTTTGTGATGACAGAATTACCAGGTACAACACTAACCGAAAGTTAGTCACCAAATAGACCGATAAACAGAAAGAAAACATCCGCCATTATCGTTTTATTTAACTTCCATAGTCGTTGCGCTATAGGTTCCCTTAAAATGATGAACATATATTAAAACCACCTTAGTCAACATGGATTTACAACATTAAGTGGCCCTATTCCCCAAAAGTTATTTTCCTATTCATACTGATGATCCAACGGCCTTTTAATATTCCAGCTTGAACGGTCACACAGGTTACTAATAAAATAAAAAGGAAAGAATTTTGAAAAAATTACTGTCCAGACACCTGACGTTTTCCCTTCACACTATTCACTGATATGGATTATGCTTTGCACCATTATACTTCTGAAATAACTTTGAAAGTCAATCTAGCAACTATCAGGATAACTAAATTGGATTCTTCTTCATTAAGCAATAGACTATCTTTCTAACCAAAATTAAATAACCTAAATAGTTGGTCCAGACATTCCTAAGGTTGCCGTTAAACTCACTCTATCTCCAAAGATGCTTTTTTCACTGCACGAAACTTGAACTGTGTGCATCAACATCGAGAATCACTCGACATTTAGCATCTTCAACCAGAATTTCATCCAACAGATGGATTGTCTTACCACATAGCAAAAACGTCTCGGAGGTTGCAACTAGATGACTTAGAAACCTTTGGTAATCACTGTAGCCAATAAATCCACACAATCTTTTCATTTCATATCATGCAACTTAAGAGATACAATCGCAAAGAAAGAGAAGCCCACTGTCATCGACAAAATGAACCGAAGACACTGCGAAAAACACATCGAACAGAAAAGCACCTCGTCTATACGAACAACTAGCAATAAAGCGTCATGATACATCTCTAATATCAATACATGTAGACAATTGTGGACATGAATCCAACTGGGTTAAAATGAAAACCTTACATACAGGAAATACATCGAATTCCAAGGAGTTTCTCGAAACTTGGCACTCAGGTCAGTCAGAAGTCAATAGGTATAATAGCAGAACTGATGAGAAACACGAAAACCAGCAAGAATATCAAAGTTTAAGTCAGCAGGACAGCCAATATATATGTGTGTGCAGACAATGACAAGATGATAGCAGAAACAGCCAATCACACCCAAGGTCACTAAAACAATCTACGAAGTCACCTAAGCAGAGGTTTCTGAAACTCACTTCCTACTGAAGTTAGCGCTTATGATGTTGTCTAGAATGACAATGAGAGAGTCACGACTAAGTTATCCAACTTACAGAGAACAGCATCGACCACAGTGATCTTCTGAACACACAAATATTTTTCATCAGGCTAGCGGTAGTAAGGTAGCTGCGCAGCAAGTTATTGTTAGAATGAACACAAAGACATCCGACGAGGCAGTCTTACAACATACTAAGTATTTGACCTTCGCCTACGCCAAATGTTATGCTATAACCTTTTAACTGGCTTACTTTTGACTGTTTTGGAAAAAACTCTTCGTTAAGATACCTGACAGTAATTTAGTCAAGTACCATAACCAAATAAAATATATCTTACATTGATTTTCGTCGTCTCCACAGACTAGTTTTTCTGTGAATCTCAGTAATGTGTGTGCAGCATTCATGTAGTCAGTTATTCGTTTTCTTAGGTTGAAGTCCCCCTATTTGACTACGATAGGTTTTTTGCGTGTCAGAGAACACCTTAGGATTGTAATCCTTCAGAAATTAGGGCTGGAATCCATAAGTGGTTTGAAATCGAGTATCTAGTCTGACGAGATAGAACCGCACATCGAATGATTTAGTTTAGTTGAGATATGCAATGAATATCGATGCCTATTATTTATAACTACTAGACATTGGTCACAGCTCTGAAGCGGTGAAGGATAACTATCACAGAGGCTTGATAAACAACTCTGACTCTCTGTTGCCGAAACATCATAGTTTTACTCTGATTTGATGACTTTAAATCCAGTAATGAAACACAATCACAAAAACGATTTGAAAAAATTTATCATTTGCACAATAGAATATAGACCTGAAATTTTCATCAAACGTTAGTACAACTTGCTAGATTGATGTTATCACCTCAACGAAAAATAACAATGAAACTCACTCGGTTCATGAGTCCTCGAGGTTTTATGGAGACAGATGATAATTTTACTTCAGCAGCGCATGATGATTCAGAAGGTGTACCTGAAGCAGATCGCTGTCTCAAAGTTCTCTGTCCTGATTTTCTACAGTTATCAGTATGCTCGGCTACGCTCGAGTTAGTTAGGCTACTCATATTGTCATGACTATTTTTTCGGACAGAATCATTATCAAATTTTGTTGAGCGGCAGGTGTAACTAGAACAGAAAGGAGAAATCGGAGATTCGGTGGTATTTCCCCGGTCAAACTCGAAGTCTGAGGATTTAACGTCTGGACGTGGAGAAAAACAAGATCGTCGTCTTGTGTTCATCTTTTCATTTTCAATTTGAAATTAGCTGAAAAGTGGTAAGAATAATCAACACTGAATTGGTAACCAGATCATTTCTTATACGCAGAGTGAAACAGAATACTGAATGGTGCAATGAAAAATATAACACGTGTGAGGATCTCGAATACTACTCGACTGCATAGACTGAAACAGATGGAGTAAATTCGAATCTATTGCCTCAGTGATTGGTAGTTGAAATGCAGAATTCACTCATCCACGGATCGAACTGACGTAAACTGAAATACTGAACTACAATTTTGAGACAGCTAATTACTTCATCAAACTATACATGCCAACTTAGGTGCAGCTCGATGATTTGCACACTGAACTATTATTTGTTGGGCTATGGTTTTGAAACAGGCTTTAACTACGTCTTAGGGGCCAGACTAAGACGTAATATCGGTCTATGAAGTCCTTGATTGATGACTTCAGGGTGGTAGGAGTCCTCGAGAATATAGGAATCAACGGTTGAAGACTCTTGGTGGTATGGCCTAAAATCGATCATAATGGTATAGATGCAGAGACTCTACGTCATCATCCTAGTTTTGATCATTCGCATTAACCTTTGTAAAACTGTTTTCTTTATATTTACACATTTATTTAACTACACGTTATTCATCTTCTCTCGACTTCCTCTTTAAATGCTGCTATGGAGCGTAGAAACTTCAAATCGCGTCGTTTGTGCCAGATTTTATGTTGATTTTTCAGTCTATCTGTCCATTTATCAAGGCTTGAGAAGTCAAACAGTATCGTTAGCCTTCAAAGTACACACGGTTTACTACTTAACGCATTAATTGTTGAGTTGTGTTATCACTAATCAAGTTTAATTTGGATGCCAGCGGAACACAAGGATTCACATCTTGATAACAACTGGCGTTTTCACTATATACTTAGCGGTGTAAGAGATAACAAACAACTTATTATTCGAAATAGCTTAACTGCGTATGGTTCAAGCTGGTACACTTCTCATTGGCAAATAGAAGTCAATGCAATAAAATAATAATAAAGCAAGACAAAGATACTGGCATTCATGAAAAGCTACAAAACAGAGAAAAACGAAGACAAGGTTGTAAAGATGAATGCATAACATGAATGTGTATTCACTAGTGCCACCGATTCTAAGCCATATCGCTAGTCTCCAATGGTTGACTTCAAATGTCTCCAGAACCTTAACCAAAGACCTATTTCCCTGAACAGCTTAGATGGCCAGTCAGTAGCAGTGAAGTGACGACAAATCTCCATTTAGTTATTTGATATCTCAACTTGATCCTATTGGTAAACAGAAAGACAGGGACAATTTAACGTAGAACGTAGCATAGAAGTGCATCAGTTCAAGTTGCCACACTTCACAGTAGCATGCAATGAAGTGTATGGACAAAGTCATATCAAAGTGGACAAATATGTCTGGAGACAAAATATGTAGATGAAAGATAACAAAATGTCCGAGACTTCGACCACAGGAAAGTGTGTATACAACTGCGCCACTGAAACCGAGTCTAAGCCATATCACCAAGAGTTTTCGACTATTGATTCCTACTGTTTCGAGGCATCAGCAAGTGTAACCATTCATCCCAGTTTACACAAACCTATTCGATAAGATGGCATACAGATGGTCATCGGCTGGTATCCACTCGAAAAGTGTGCCTTCTGCTCTAGAACGCAATGATATTTTCAGATATCCGTATGGTGAATTTCGCGTGATTCACACTTGCCAATTGTGGTCAAGTGAATAACTACATTCGCATTCTGTTTGTGTGTCAAAAATAGTATATACTGATGACTTTAGATCTTGGAAAAAATTAAGCATTCTATTTCACCACATTCAATTAGGCTTCCAGCTGACCTATATTCCCACCTATGAGGAGAGATGACTGGTAAGGCTTCAACTTGCAGTTTAGCTCTGTTCTAATAAGTAAGGTTAAACGAAATAGTCTTACACCTTCAGAATAAAAAATCATATAAAGTACATGATTTAAGTCCTAGTTAAAAGAGATGACAAAAGCCCCAAAACCATGATGCAACAAGACAGCTTTGCATATGTGCCCTTTAAGTACGTGAGTGGTTATGATGAAAAGGGTTCTTTCAAGTAAGGTAAAACAAAAAGCAAAAAATCCGTAACAACTACATGTCAAACTATCCCGATAACCATGGTATTTTTGCAGAAGACTATGCACTGAATGTGCACCGACTGACCAAGAGCCAACGTAAGACACATTTTTGACATGACAGAGCTTTCCATTTCTAAAATCGACCGTTAACACTGCTTTTAGTCTACTAACCCTCTTCTTGGTGATTACACTTAACTACACTGGTACAAATTATGGAAAACTGGATCAATGTCCAAATACAACCAAAATTTGTTTTTAAAACCTGTGATTTCCAACGACGTAACCCTTCTGAATGACAGTTGCTTAAACATTCCATAAATGTCATGACTCTGATTTCAGAGAAACCTGGAAAAAATACACATCTAACCAGGATAAAAGTTAACAAAGGGAATAAAGTAAATATACTGAGGTGCTTCATGGAAATCCCAAAATCACCAAGGAACTTTGGCTGTAATAAGTCAACCTGTTAACCAAAAGGACAGTAGCAACTATCAGCATATGAATCACATCAAACAAACAAGTGAAGTATTTACAACATGTGGGTTGGTAATATAACGACAACGGTACACGACTTCGCTTAGCAGGGGCGAAATGAACGTCACCAAATGGCCAAACCTCACCCATAGACTAAAACGTTTTGTGAGATCTCGAAAACGGAAGTGACTGAGTTTACTTGTGACCATATGATTTCTGATGTTCCATAGCTTCTCAGATTATTTGGGATACGATAAACATGTTTCGCTAGTTATGGAGGAGGCAACTCAATGGTACGAAGATTAAACAACTACCGAAACCTCATCAGAACATGAGCCTGCAAAAAAAAGTGAAACTCACTAGATAAGCTACTTATTCGGCCTGCGGGAAATACATGTGACAGTTACTTAACCTCTACATTAATAAATACTACAGTCATTCGCCAACATGAACATCATGTTACAGGAAAACCATGACTGAGAGAAAATACTTGCAAAACCAAACGCGAATTCAGGACTTTAGGGAAGTCTGTACCGATCATGAAATGACTGAGTGAATTTACCCACTCACGATAACATAAGTGAACCCAAGGAAACTGTTACAATGAAAAGTTCCTGAACGTATTTTTTGAAAACAGAGATAAAACACAAAGTTGTCATGATTTTCCAAGAAAAGTTATGCAATTATTTTCATGCTACAGCACGAAAATAAAACTCACGTCTTAAAAATTCAACTTCAGTTTGATGACAGCCCAGGACTTGTACACCAAGAAGGACTTCTTATGTTATAAATACCCAGAATTACAAATAAACAGAAGAATCTTTCATAAGAATGAGGAATACACTCGATACACCGACCAAAGATGACAATAAAGACCTAGAAAAAGGGTGCTTACTGTGCGTCACAAAAACTACGCCTTTCGTTAAAAAATATTCACACTAAAACCACAGATATACAAAAATTCTAAAAGTTAAAACCGTATAGTCCATACAAATAAAATATAAAACACCATCTTTTTAAAAGCCGCCAGCTTTTATAACGAGCGCTAGATTTAGACGAGGATCCTAATTAGAAACACATTTAAACACCGTAGGGCGAGTGCAGCCTACTAGTTGGGGTAATACAGACCTAGAAAACGTTTAATTTCTTTTTACATTGAAAATAAATCGTGAAAGAAGTTCGACTGCTTTCAGAAGGCATACGGCCAAGTATCCATGTTATTTGGCCCGTTGTTTTGTTAAGGTCCTTTGCTCGTACACGGTCTCTAAACTAGCTAGTCGATATTTTGGAACAGCTCGCCAAACAGAATCTTTGTGCCTGCCTCCATGATTTCATGCCCGTGGATAACCTCCAAGTTAGAAGAACCAGAAGACTCCACTTAGCCAAATTTCTACCACTCACGTGTCTGGATACCAGAAGGGAACTGTCGAGGAACACAGTAATTCAGATGACAAATAAGAAAACTTCCACCATCTCATTAGGAAGTAGAAAGATACTTTAACTGGCTTAAATCAGGCACTTACAAGCTTATACGGCATATGCCGCCTGCATGAAATCGGTAAAACGTTTCTAGTATCCTTAGGGACTAGAAAATTAATAAAGAAGTCAGAAGCATGGTTACGGAGGAGGTTATAGGCGATAGACTGGGTTATTAGGCATTTCTGTGCAGAACATTGAAGGGGGACCATGGGGCAGTGCACTTCATGATTAAATGAATGTTAATTTTCTACTTAGTGTACAGTTCAGTGGTTCATCACGGTAACTGTGAGGTAGCGGTGACTATAAACTAGCTAGCCACACGGGAGGGTTAGGTCTTGTAGAATTTGGGCTTCTTAAAATCGAGGTAATCTCAAATCCTGATAAATCCCTGGGAGTTAATGGCAATCACCCAAGAGTACTCAACGAGTGTAATGTTGCAACCGCATCACTATCAAACCTCTTCAGACGTTCAGTTTTAGAAAGTGGATTGTCCCCTAACTAGAAACGAGTGACTTTCGTTCCAGCATACCTCTAACTATGTGCCATCCTCCTCGGCCAGCTCAGTTGTGAAATCTATGGAGAGAGTAATGATCAATTAATTTCGTAATTGATTGCTCGGAAACCCAATCATAGCTCAACAATTATGGGAGCTTTCGCCTCCAGCGCCATGTAACACCGACTCCCTGGTAGCATGGAATAGTTGGACCCTCTTCGCTTGGCGGAAAAATACCATACCTGCGGGGTCATTTGAGTTGTTCAAAGCCTTTGACAAGGTTGATCACGGTGTCCTGCATGAGTAGCTTCAGCTCATGGGAGTACACATGAGGTAACTCATTTGTCATAGGAATTGTCTTGACTGCTAGTTGCAATCGGAGTGGGCCCATCTTTGTCCCAATGGTTTCCTGTGCTGAGCGGGGCGCCCCAGGGCTCAAACACTATCCCTTGCCTTCATGAATGAGGTATCAACAGCCTAAATTCTCGCTCGCTACCGTGCCGATGATCTCGAGATTGGAACAGAGATGTATAGTCCAACAGACAACTCCGTACTACAGGAGGACCTTTCGAAAACCATGAACTGGAAAAGTGAAAACCCGCACCCTGTCAACTCGGGGAAGTGTTGGACAATACTTGTAGATAAATATAGGTGTAACGGGTTCCGAATTCCTGCGAAGGAAAAACATTTCTCGTTCGCCTCGAGTGACACACCTGAAGCTCCCCCCATCGTACTTCTGCTTCCAACAAAGTGTGTAGAATGCCAGGGTTCTCGTCTGGCACTGTAGGGAGCCCGCCTGCACGCCTTTTCCCTGTTGTGACCAGACCATATATTCATCTTCATCAAGAGGAAAGTCCACTAGGTGTTTTCACACATATGGTGAACGGCATAGCCATCCTGGAACGTGTTCGGGGAAGGGCTACGAAGAAGGTGATTGGGCTACATAACAAACCGTGTAACGGATGCTCTTAAGCTCTGCCGGGTACAATACAGGAAGATTTGAGGTGATACGGTCGTGGTGTATCATATCGCCCACAATCCTCTTCACCTTAGCCGGCTCTTATTTTGCCCTTATCAAAAGCACCACCTTAGAGGCCTCCTATTCAGATTGGATCATGAGAGGGCACGTTCGATTAGCCACACTAACTCACTTGTAGTCAAGTTAACCAACCATTAAACTCCCTGTCTAAATGATTTGCACCCAAAAGCAGGTTTAATGTATATGCAAAGTCCTTTACTACACATGGACTTCATCAAGCTCCCTTCCCAGCCGCTACATCTATATGACCCACTTACATCACAAGTGACGTACTTCTGTGTAGTATTTTTGTTCTTCTGCTTCAAGTTTGTCCTACTGCTTGTTTCTTTCGTTCATTCTGAGAGCCACATTGATCAGCTTTTCACTTGCATGGGGCCGCATGTCAGCATGTGTCACGACGTCACAGCTCTATAAAGAACAGATTCCAGATAACAGCCGTTCCATCCGACATTTCTTCGAAGATGCTTGGTGCTTCAGTCGGTGTTTGAATGACTCCTGGCTTTGAACTGAACCTGCTTTATTCTACTGAACAATTACGTTACTGTTTGGCTGCATTATTTTGTTATCTTATAAACGATTAACTTCTACCCTTAAGCTCATCTGATTATACCCATGAACTATTTTTTTCCATAAGACCTAATTATAGTAATATATATTTCATACAATAAAGGTTACATGAATACAAACCAGTTTACAGGTTTGATAATTTTGGTAATGAGGAATGACTATTACGTGCAGTGTGAAGCTACACGTTAGATACCGTTATTCATGGCATATAAAAGGTGTATTGAAGCAGACTCAGTTAGAAACTAGGAATTATTCGGTTATCGCTTGAATCTTCCAATATTCGTGAAGGTGGGGCAGGCAGTACAGTAATGACCTTGGGGTGTATGCATTCGTCTTAAGGTTTTGATGGTATGGCGCACACCGACAAATGCGATCTCTGGGATTCCATTTGAATGCAGGACTGGTTAGCTAAACCTGAAAAGTGAATAGCAAAGCAAGCAGCAGGCGAAATTCGAAACAGGAGCATAAAAATAAGCAGGAGTAGATCAACCATGGTGAGTTCTTTGTACTGACCATAAAACTTACTTCAAGAAGTATCCAGAACCAAATGTTTGAGGTAAGCTTAGGTGGAAAAAGATGAAGGTGCGCACGACAGTAATGAAAATCAGTCTGAAGCCGAAGATATCACTACGAAATAGAGAGGTTAAAGGATTTTAGACCAGGCATTCGCTTGTTATATACCTATGTACAAGCGTTTGGTGAAGCTATAAACATTTAAGTGAAATTCATGGTTTTTTCTGAGACGGTAACCACCCTTTATCTGGTCACGAGGGGGGGGATGATCATGGTGTTGCCCGTTGAGTATTATCATATCGGGGCTACCGAAACAATATGTGAGTGCAGAGTATTCACATGTAAGTACTGATAACAAAGGGCAAATAATAAAGTATTGCATGCTATGAAAATGCACCGATAGACAGTTATCTTATCTTTTCGGAGTAGAGAGATTATTTTAAGGGACGGATTTTAGGAAATAGGTGTTAAGTTGTGAAATCAGTTAGGTTATGAAGAAATGTAGGTTACATTAGAGTAGCTACTGAGTTCACCGTTGCATATCGTATCGCACTCCGCTTCCTGTTCACTCTTGGTCACCACCTATGTCGTATAGGAAATATATTACTGTCGTCCTTACAAGAAGCCACCCGTTGTCTCACAAATCATGGATATCGTGGTTACCTACATCAATTCATTTGGTTAGTTAATAACAGATTATCACCGTCCTTTAGGTTTCATGGATCTGTTAAACTCAGCAATCTGGTGCAACCGAAGACACTGCAAAGTGCTAGCACTCAAAATCTACCCACAGAAACTGGGCAAGCTCCAAAAGTAAGCTAGGGTTTTGCCCCTGTGTATGGGGAACTACCGGTTCCCACACTATGTGAGGCACCAACGAAGCCTTCACTTCTCGTATGTTTGCAAACTAGACGATTCAACAAACCTGAACAACCTGGGGAAGTAGGCTTTGTCGAGAACAAATCGATAAAAGTAAATATGGGGGAGGGTGGACCGAAAGCGTTGGCTGAGAGGCTTAATACCTTGCACCCTCAGGACCACTGAAAGGACTCCATCATCTGGCTTAATGCCTCTACACCAACAGACTGACTCCTGGGGATAAAAGAGCAGTCTGGCAAGGAGAAGAGGGGTGAATACTGCGAGAAGTTGGCAACAGAATCCATTGCAGTTAGCCTACGCCGGTTCTCCCGTCTGTCAGACTGTAAAATATGAGGCAACCTCCAAGATAAATACAAACTGTGGCAGTAACAAAAGGACTATCTGATGAACCAGTGCCCGCAGGCACAACGGTTAACACTTCCATCTCACCACCTTCTGGCCTCCAGGAAGAAACAAACAACGGGTACTCGCCAGTCCCTACTGGACTGGCAATCAGAAGCCGATGCAACGGCACACTGGTCACCATGCCAGTTCCCATACTGATCCCAGCCCAGAATGCAGCTTCTTGAAGTGCTTCTACTGCAGCGTAAGAGGTCTCAGAAGTGAACTACTGGAGCTAAGAAAGATGTGCCCTCATCTGTGCGCAGATTTAATTTTAACTACAAAGACATAGCTCTCATCGGACGTCTTAGGCTACGAAATGCTTTACCGTGACCCTGTTCCGAAAAGATGAGCAGTTCAAAGGAGACGGAAGAGGGGTCATGTACGCTAGCACACACCTAAAAGTCAAGGAGGCGACCGGTCATGTGTTCACCTAATTAGAAGACACCACAAGCCAAACAAAGTGCCAACTAGGTGTAAAAGGATCACGGCTTGACTTCGCTCTGACGGACAACGATGCTTTGGTGGACAATGCCTGTGTCTGACCCCCTGTAAGCAAAAGCGATCACGCAGTGGCGAGACTTTCTTTGAAAACTTAGGAGAAACTAACACTAGTTGGACCAGAAGCATACCGCTGTTACCAGGAGGCAGACCACCAGCTAAGGAACAATGAACT